CCAAGGGCTTTGAGTCTATATAACTAGGGCACATAAGGGGTTTGTTACAACACTTGTCACTCAACCTTTCCCCTCTTAAAATGTGCCTCTCGTGTCACCCCCTGGAAGGCTTGCTTATATTAGTTGACAAAGAATATGATAAAAATCTCCCCTTTTATTCTCCCTTTTTTGTTTAGGGTTTACTCTTCAAAATTGTGTGCGTTTTTCTCCAATTATGCAATTTTCAATTCTTGCTTCTCCTCCGAAGCATTGCCTAACGAAATGTACCAAGTGTACCTATGCAAGAAAAATCATCACGTAGTTTCAAGAATCTTCCTTTTTTGCCTTCAATTTTCTCAGAGGTGAAAAGTGTAGCCACTTGGCACAGATCCTACAATGTTACGATGATGGACTACTGGAACCAAGATGAGGGTTGTCCCTTTCTACCAGAGTCTTTAGTTTAGCGTTTTCTTCGCATTTTTAAGCGATTGAAAATTAAAAGAGATTGAAGATGGTAGGAGGGGAAGGAAGAAGAGCACCAACATAGATTGGAGAAAGGGGTTTGGACCGACATAGGACATTGAAGGAAAACAAGTCATCTTGTTTTCACAGTAACAAGGAAAAGATCCAAAAGTTTCCAAAATTACCTTATTTATAAGTTCCTTTTTAGATTTTTTTTTTCAGAGTTAGATATGTTTATTTAATTTTAAAGAAAAATAAATTTAAATCAATCAAAAAAATTTAATTAGATTTATCAGTGAATATGTGATTTAACTAATAAATATTTATTTCAGTTTAACTTTTGAGTTTATGTAAAGAACAAGTTTTTTTTAATTAATTTATTATAAATTAAAAAGAGTTTATGTAAAGAACTCATCACCTCAAATTTTTAAAATTTAAATAAGAGAACTTATAAAAAAATTATAAATTTATTTTGATTTATAAAAAAAGTTTTATTTATTTTATTATTTTATAAAATCATTGAAAAATTTAGTCAAACTAGTCTTTTATATATATTGAATTGATTGATTTGAGCTTTTATTTTTAATTTTTTTACAAAAAAACATTCATTGAAGACAAGCATACTGACCCCTCCTCCGGTATTTCAGGAGATCCATATATATGTGATAACATGTTTTTAATTGTATTTGTAATAAAAGTATATGAAAATAATCGGATAAAGTCTCTATATATTTACAGCACCGCTCTTAAAAAAAATTATAAATCAATTATTATTTTCTTTGTTTAAAAAATAATATACATAACATATTTTTATTCAAAAAAATATGATGCTTGCCCATGTGAGAAACTTTACTTTATAACTCATCCCAATTTTTTTCTCTCATAAGATGTTATTAGGTATTACATGATAGGCAAGATGAAAACTTTTTGCCATTGAAAACTAATTTAGAACTTGAATTAAAATATTAATCTAGTCTAATAATGAACATATATAAAAGATTGGCTTAAATAACTTTTCTATCTTTTTATACTTGTAATTTTAATCTATTTTTTTTAGTTTTTTTTTATCTTTTTAAGTTTTTTTTTTGTTATTTTTCATTCTTATATGCTATTATATATTGTAAAAAAAATAAAGGAATAAAGCCAAAACAATAAAAAAAAATAGAAAAAGTAGGAACCACAAATAATAGATGCAGATTTAAAAAAAATAAGAAATTCAATAACTAAAATTTGATTAGATTTTTTTTTCTTGAACACTTTAACAATTTTAATTATTCATTTTTTTAATAATTTTATCCTAAAAAGTTACTTGAAAAAGAATGGTAAATAAGTGAGATGATTGATATAATAAATAAATAATATAATAGAAATTTAATTAATAATTTTTTCAAAAATTTAGAATACCAATCTTTTTAATATTTAGTTTAATATTTTGAAAAAAAAAAGAGGCTAAATCTCTCCTCATTCACCTTTATCTTCCCTCCAGAAGTTGAAGATTTGAATGGAAAATAAAATTTAAATTAACCAAAATTTATTATTATTAATTTAGAATATATATTTAAATTTTCTAAGTATATAACAGTAAACTTATTTGTTTGTTCTTCTCTCCCTTCTCCACACTTTTATTAAAATCCATTCTCTCTTTTTTTTAATTTGAATCAAATACTGTCTGAACAGCAAGTAAAAATAACCAAAAAAGAAAAAACAAATTAAAATTTCATAGAATTAAGAATTTTATATGTACATAATTGTTTCGGTGTAAATAAAAAAATTATAATTTCATACTAATTTTATAACTACAGGCTATCTAAATAAAGTCTTTTAATTATTTTTTAGGGAAAATTAGTTAAATTAGTTTGAGTGAAGTGAAAATTTAGATAAAAGTTATATATTAAATGTAAAGACAAAATTTTATATTTGTATTTCCTTATTCAGGGACGGGGTGAACACCGACTCTTTGTATAACTGTGAAATTATTTAGTTTTATTAATTAGCGTAACAATACAAAATTTGATTCTGGCATTACGTTAAAATGGTTTTCGACTAAAAGTCATTGAAATTTTTAGTAGTTATCAACTGTATATTAAAATTTTTAATTTTTGTATACAATTTGTTGATAAAAATTATTAAAAATATAAATGTTATTATATAAATTTCATGCATTGTATTCTATAATTTTTATAAAAATTTATTATACATAAATGATTACTGTGTACTCATAATTATATGTTAAAAATATCAATTTTTATACTATTAATAAGTTTTCAAAACTTTATCTAACAATTTATTAGTTCATATGGGTTTTATGGATACACAGAGTATGTAGGGTTATTGAATAAAGATAAATCAAGGATATTAGTTTTAGAATTGTTTTAATGAAAAATTAAATGATAAATCATCATGAAACCTTTAATTGATTTTGTACTTTTGTTTGCCTTTAGTAGTAAATAAAAATCAGCTAAAAAAATGCTAATAAAACCATTTTTAATAATTGAGTCTCACTTTTTTTAATTTTAAATTAATATTTTTGTTTAAATTTTTTATAATCCTGTAACTTTTAAGAAATTTTAATTAATAATTAAAAATATATTAGAAAAATATTTCAAAAGATACTATACATATCTTGTATATAAGCATGCGATGTGAATAAAATAAAGTAAAACATTTTTCTTTTCTGATCTAAAATTTAAAAACTTTATCAACTTTGTCAATTTATAGATACATATTTAAAAGTATAAAATTATAATATCTAAATCATTATTAAATTTATATATATATATAAATTATAAAATTATATATATACTAGTTTATTATTCGAATGTTAATTTTTTTTATAAATGTTAGGAATTTTTTAAAAAAATTTACTTCTTTCTCTTCATTTTTAACAACTATTAAAAATTAATAGGTTTTAAACTAAATTTTATTAACTTCTATATACAAACTGTGAATACTAATTTTTAAATAAAAATATTTTTAAATTTTTTTATTATGTCAAATAATTTTTCTATATTATATATTTTTAAATTTAATAATAATTTAGCTATCAAAATTTTATAATTTTTTATTTTATTTAATATGACTGAATACTTCTTATTAATTATTATAACATTTTTAAAACATTCATAAGATAGTTTTGTAATTGTTTATATAAAAATTATTTTAATTTAATGATACTGATATAGTAAAAAATATTATTGATTTCTTTTTAAATCAAATCCACAAGTAAAACCTAAATAATTTTTAAATGATTATTATATCAATTTAATTTTTAAACTAATTTTTTTTATCACCGGAACAGTTAAAAAATTAAGTTTATTATAACCAATTTAATGTTATATAAAAATTATTATTCAAAATTTATTTTAATATATTTAATATTTTTTAGCATAAAATTATGTTATGTAAATATTTAAAATATGTTTCAATTCAATTCAATCATTAAATAATAAAACATAAATTATGATTGTAATAAATGTAAAATTGAAATCACGTTAAAAAATATATAAACGTAAATCTAACATGAAAAGTATAATCAATATTACTAAAACAACTAAAAATTTATATATTTAAATATAAATTTAAATATGCATTCAATTTATAGATATTTAGTATTTTATAGAATATATTACATTTATACTATTTAAAGTTTAATAGACTTTTACTTGAAATAAAAAATAAATAATTAATAACTCATACGGTACATAAGCATTTTATTTTAAAAAATACATATACATATATTTTATGATAAAATTATTTTAATTTAATTTTATAATTATAAATAATATATTTTACCGATGAAATAGAAATAGTATATAATAATTTTTATTTTATTAAAAAAAATCACCTATGACAAAAGATACTTGTAATAAAAAATCAAAATGATAAAAATTTAATAAAATTATAATTATTTTAAAATATTAAAAATATAGTAAGAATTATTAATTTTATTTAAATAAAAATAACTGTAATAAATTTAAATATTTATAAAATTTTTAATAAATTTAAAACAAAATATTATGTAATTTTTAGAAATTATATAAAATAATAAAAAATAAATAATTTTTTTATTGATAAAATTAAAATATAATTAATAAAAATGAGAAAAAAATAAAATTATCACAACATTAAATATTTTATTTAAAGCACTTCCATCAGTAATACAAAGGTGAGGCTGAAGATCAATTATATAAAGTATGTGATATTATATTATTAAAAAAAATTAGATAAAAATGGATGAAATAAAATTTTGTTAAACTAAAAATTATGACTATAATTTGTTTTATTTCATAATATATTCTGTCATTTGTTTTCTATTTATTTATTCTGTTATATCCTCTCCCTTATTTTCAAGATATATTATGAACCTTTTTGTAAACGAATATTAATAAGATCAAATTGAAAAATTCAGAGAAAAAGTTAAATAAATGAAAAAAGAGATAAGAAAGTGATAGATGAGAAAGGGGCAATATGGTAACTCTGCACACCCTAGTCTAGGCTCCTGCTATCTAACCAGACCAAGGCTCCTAATATAACCCCATCAAGTTCCCCACCACAGAGAAGAATCTCTCTTTATTTCTCTCACTCTTTGTCTCAAAACCAAAATTTTCCAAAACTCTCAACTCTCATCAACCTCTCTCTCTCTCTCTCTCTCTCTCTCTCTCTCTCTCCTCCCCTGTCCAGTTCCAAACTCACAGCCTCTGACCTGCAATTTATTTACCTCTGACAGGCTCTTAATTTTGCTTCCAGTTCCTCTGAGTGATGGGTATGATCTCTCCTCACTCCCACAATTCCCACATTATAGTAATTCTCATCACCTGCTTCTTTTGTCATAAATTTTAGATCAAACTCCACACCCTGATCCACCCTTTTACTCCTTATGGGGCATCAAATGAATATGACTCTCTAATCTAAAACTCCCTCTTAGAACAAACAACACACACACTTCAAAGTCCACACTACCAACCCCCCAAAAAGTTCTGTTCCCATGGCAGGTGGCAAGCTTTATGGTGCCTCAAACATGTCACTTCTCCTCCAAAATGAAAGACTCCCCTGCTCCTCTGAAGTCCTCGAGTCTCTCTGGGCTCACACCTCTAACCCTCCCTCTTTCCAAGGTGATTTCTTCCTTCTCAATTCTTCTCTCTCACTCACTCTCTTCGTGCTGTTCAAGCGCTCACCACAACATATACTCACACCCATAAATTTAAATTAAAAAAATTCATTAACTTGTTTCCTGGGAAAACAAGAAAGTTGGTTTTTTTTTTTTTTTTAATTTCAGGACTCTTGTCTTTTTTTTCTTATGATGATTAGGCTTTCCCATGAAAAACTAAAAAAAAATAAATTATTTTTCTTCTTTTCTTCCTGGGAGAGCCTTCATATGATTGAATTTTAACGTTGTTGGTGTTTGGTCTTTGGTGGTTTGGTTTCAGGTTCAAAGTCGGTGGTTGATTTTGAGAATGTTAATGGGAGCAGGGTGGTGGATAGGCCCTTCTTTCAAGCGCTTGAGAAGGAAGAGAACGGTGATGAGGATTATGATGGGTGTTTCCATCAACCGGGAAAGAAAAGAAGGCTCACAAGTGAACAAGTTCAGTTCCTTGAAAGGAACTTCGAGGTAGAGAACAAGCTTGAACCTGAAAGGAAGGTTCAACTTGCAAAGGAGCTTGGCTTGCAGCCAAGGCAAGTTGCTATATGGTTCCAAAACAGAAGGGCAAGGTTCAAGACCAAACAGCTAGAAAAAGACTATGGCACATTGAAAGCTAGTTATGACAGACTCAAAGGTGACTATGAAAATCTTCTTCAAGAGAATGACAAGTTAAAAGAAGAGGTAAAAAAAAGGAAGAAAAAAAAAGAAAGACACACAAATACACTATTCAGCTTTTCTGCTTTATGCTACTACTATGAGCTCTTTATTATTACTTTAATAAAGTTAAATATTTTATCCCACTAATGGCTTAATGATTGAATTGGCACAATTTTCCTACCAACAGGTGAATTCTCTCAAGAACAAGTTGATTCCTAGAGATAAAGAGGAGGAGAATTCAGATGACAAGTCATCTCCTGATGCTGTCAATTCACCCCACAAAGAGCCTATGGATTTAATTTCAAATGCAACATCTGAAAATGGGTCTAAAGTGTCACTCCCTATTATGGTAACATGCAAGCAAGAAGATGCCAATTCAGCTAAAAGTGATGTGCTTGATTCGGACAGCCCACATTGCACTGATGGGAACCATCCTTCCTCATTTGTGGAGCCTGCAGATTCTTCCCATGCTTTTGAACCAGATCAGTCAGATTTCTCCCAGGATGAAGAGGATAACCTTAGTGAAAACCTTTTGACCCTCCCTTGCTTACCAAAGGTTGAAGATGCCTGTTATGACGACCCTCCTGAAAACTCTTGTAATTTTGGCTTCCAGGTTGAAGATCAAACCTTCTGTTTCTGGCCCTTCTGAATGCCTACACTTAGTGCAATGTTGAAAAAGTTGGCGGTTGTAACTCTGTACTAGAAGCAATAAAAATGGTATTACTTCTACTAAGGAATAAAATCAAAAGGGTAATGCATATTATGCTATTAACAAGAAACATTATTAAAAGTTTAAAAACACTACCACTTCTTTGACATAGCCCAAGTTTGAAAATTGAATTCCCAAAAGTCATGTGTCACAGGTATTCTTAGCAGTAACTAAAATGGTACAAAGTTAGTATAGCTAAAATTCAAAACTAGTTCAGATGTGAGCGTAGGTATCCCAAAATTTCAGGTGGGGTACCATAACCAATCGTTGTTTTACTCTTGGATATGGAAAGTTGAGTGGAAAGTGGAAACACCGGTTCTCTTTCTGCAGGATTCCTCTAGATCACCATTGTTTTACTCATGTATTAGGAAGACTTTTTATACGCATCCCTATCTGATGATGATTATGTCAGAAATATTTGGCATGTGTTGAATGAAATTGAAAAATTAAATAAAAGGAATGAATGAATAACGTATCAACACAAACAAAATACTGAATAGCTACAGTAACCTCGTAATCTTTAGGAGCACTAATAACATGTTAAAAAGTATTGGTCTTCCAAACATTGTGGCAAATTTCGTGATCCTTAGGTGCAAGCAATTTTTTTTATTATTATTATTTTAGATCTTTAACTGGATAGAAGAGGTTACTTACAAGTCACATCCTATTGGTGCAAATTCACATTCAAAATGTTGCTTAAACTACAACTTGCATGAACAGCAGTAACATCCATTGAAGGCCGTGAAAGTTGCCAGATACTTGTCCCATAAGAAAGTTGAATTCAACCCTACGAGCATCCCCACGAATGAAATTGAACTTCTCAAAGTAACTGTGACCCTGTGAGCAAATCTAAACATAATGGAAAAGATGGAGAATACTGAAGATTGCTATAGAAGTCAAGGTTTCTGGTGTGGCTCACTTGAACAAATTGGATTGGCGAGGACTTTTTAGCCCCCGCTAGCTCATTGGCGATGTTGACAGCTTAGTCTAATTTAAGCATTAAAATATTTGAAATTCATTCTTGTAATTAAACCCAGCGTTTGTTTCTTCATGAAGAATTTGTCCGTTGTAGAATATTGTTAGCTGTTGAATTTTGGTTCGCCCATGAAAAAGTCCATGTAAAGTGTCTCACCCTTAAAAATATTATCTGCATTAATATTTTACTTAAATGTGTTGCATCACCCATTGACAAGTTATAAATGGAGGCACCTTTCAGGGATGGCCCTTGTGTGCCTTGACATTATTCACGTGAAAAAAAAGTTTTAGCTTCAAGAAAGACACGCTCAAGTAAGTGTAATTAAATAATTAATTAAATTTTCTACGCTTGAACCTATTGGTGAAAGAGGGGTTCAATGATATTTATAAATATGAGAAAAAGAATAAAACAAAGTGAAAACATTGATCAATGCCATCTAAACTATATGTCCATTGATATTTTCTTTTTTGGGTTATAATGAGTTAGAGTAATGTAGAAGTTAAAAAGAGTGGAGTCAAAAATGTCATGCTCTAGTGTCTATTTTTTCAAATGTCATTGCTTTGTAGGCTTATACAGCTAAGGTCAAAAGTTTTTTTGTGGTCCTCAAAAGAGGAACACTGCTGTATTTGGCATTTGATTTTGGTGAAAGTGATGTTAAGTGAAGCTCTTTGGGGTCTTTTTCCTTTTTCTTTGTTGCAGCTTGGGATCTAAGTTGAAGCACAAGGTTCATTAATTATCCTTGTCCTCACTATAGTGAGTACCATAAACGGATCAATGTGAGGGCATTGTCTTATACCAGTTGTACTTAAGATTCTTTCTGAGCTGTGGCTTAGTATCAAGAAAAATTGACGGATATGAATTGTTTGTTATAAATGAATTTAAAGGCCTGCTAGTACATCTCATGTTGGGAGGGTAAATGTACATTGTTATAGTTTGTAATTTTGTACAATCAGAAAGTTATGGTCTAATCACAAAGCTCACCCTTCTGCAATTTGGTGGAAACACAGACATGAGAGTGTTAGACTTTTTCATTCTCGAAAATTGGAGTTTGGTAAAGGCACAAACTGGTTGAACTACTTTTAAAAGAGGTTGTGTACATATTCCGATCGAGTCCTCAAAAGGACAGATCCAGTCATTAGAGTGCTTGCAAAACCTCTCAGATCATATGAAGAGTAAACCACAGTATATTTTGGTTTCTTACATTTTTCATGTTCTTAATTAAATTATCTCATTTATTAGAAATGTCTTGTACTTTTTCTTTTTGCTTAAATAAAGAATATGGTGTGTAGTTGACAGCAAGTCCAGTTGAAAAATATCACATAGAAGTCTTTTAATTTAAGGGAAGAACTTGATGAATTTCAGATGGAACCAACTTAATGGTTATTTACATACAAGGATTGAATATCATTATTCAATTTAGTTTTGCACATAAGTCCATATTTTGATAAGTTAATTTCTATATGCCGATTTTTTTTTTATCCTATTTTGTGGCGATCATGTATATTTAGCTTGTTTTAAAGGAAATAATAATTTTATTTTTTATATAAGTTTTTTTTCATAAAATTACAGGGAAAACGTGAGTGTATGTTTAATAAGGTAATTTAAACACGCTCTACAAAAGCTAAAATTAAGGTAGTAAAACTGTCATTTCATTTTTTTAATCATCTTTTAATTTAAATTATATAAGCCAAAGTTAAGTATTATTTGCTTTTCTTTCCTTAACTCCTCTGTGTGACAAATGAAATGATAATTTATTCCCTCCTCATAATCAATCCACCTTTTGAGAGCATTAAATTGATTGGTTCTCCCAATATCTCAAGAAAATTAGATGCTAAATGAATGCCTAAACAAATGAAGAACAAAGAATGGACCATTTCAAGTTTCTCTTTTAAGTAGAAACATTCAAGTGCCTAACACTTAATTAAAACTTGAAAAGTTAATGTTTTTATACAAACTACTTATTATTGAGTGCTTTTCAAGTGACTCTAGAAGCTCTTGAATCCCTTGCCATTGGTTTCCTTTCCTTTACCTTTGATGAAGCCATGTTTTGCTATTTAAAGATCCTATGGATGAATTGTGTAAGCATTCCAAACATACTTACTTTGATCATCCTTCATATAATATCGAAAAGCATTGTTTACGTGTTAGACATGCTCTCAATGTTAACTACTCAAATGGTAGATATATATCTCCCAAAAGAAGTCTGAGATTTTTTAATTCTTTTTTTGACAAAATGTGAACCTGAAATTTATTTACATAAAACTAAGCGTGTATTACATAAATCAGCTCTCATTAATAATCGATAATAATACTATTTTAGTTTTATCATATTAGATTTGCAATAATGATAATTAAATCAATTTTGCAAGCCAAATTATTAAACCAAATTTCTTACTACCTAAACAAAAAATATCTTAATAAAAAATAAATATTTAAATTTAATGGACATTGTTGTACCGGGAAAAAAAAAATCAATGTTACATCCAAAGCCATATCTCCAAATATAAGTGGTGAGGGTGTTAGCACCAGAAAATATCTCCAAATCTCAAATATGCAATTTTTAATTAGAAACGTGTTTAAAAAATTAAATTTAACAGAGTTTGGAGTACTTATAAATATACTCCATGAATATACAGAAGTCTCGGATTATGAATTGGGTGATAAGTGATGATTAAAACCTTGTTTGAAAATAATTCAGTCTTTTATCTGTCTCTATCCATTTCGCTTTGAAAGGTTATATTGAAAGGGAAGGACTTTATCGCAAGAGTTGATTCATAATTAGAACTTGACATCTTACTGTTTACAAGGACAGGAGTGATATTGGTCCATTCATGGACTATAGTTGTAGACAACATGAATAGATAATCATATGTCAAAATCATTTTGTAAAGATAATCATAGATCGTTGAAGTTCCACACAAAAGAAAACATAATCAAATTGCCATAGAAAATGGCAAGCTTATGTGGTGCACCTTTACAAAAGGGTGCATCAACCTACTCCTCATTACGGATCTTTGATTAATCGTACGGCTAAGACTGTTCTGAAAGTTTTCACTTGTTGTTGAGTATGCCAAACACATCCTCCAGAGCATGGTCAATGGGACTAGTCAAGGAAGAGGACTTTGTTGATTCAAATACTCATTTCTTAAACGCAATGATGTTCGAGGTGTAAGTGACTTTGCTCATCTTAATTTTTTTAGAGAGAGTTGCTATCTTAAATTTATGCAACTTTGTATCATATCTCTACTATAACTTGATTCGACTAAATTGAAATGATGTCTTTGAACTAATTTAAAATACGTCATTTCATCAATATTGAATAAAAATTATTTTTAATTTTAATTATATTAAATAAAGAGTGCATTTAAATTAAAAGGATGATGGAATAAAGACAAATTTATACAGTATCACACTTTAGCTGTATTTATATGCAATTCAATGGATTCACAAATCACAATTTTCTTTGGTATATTAAAAGGTTGCCCACCATATAGCATGTGTTTGAATTGAAATTTGAAGGACTCAAATTAACTTTTATTCAAATAAAATAGACGTTCTCAAATGAAATTTAAATGCTATTAATATCTCATAATTAGAATAGAATATATGAGAGCTAAAAAAATTATAACAGCACTTACTACTGTGAATATAAGGAATTTAAATTTCCTAAGTATATGATCCTACGTTCAAGTAGAAATATTTTTCCTGCGACGATGGAGATTAAAGTTCTCCCGGCAGTGATTACGAGATAGGATCGCGTTTTTATTTTTATTTAAATTTTATTTATTTTTAATCCTTATCTTTAACATTAAAAATGCATATATATTCATTATATAAAATTAATGCATAATTCCTTCTAACCATGCTTTGAATTCCAATTCTATGTATGAAATAAACCTTTCGATTCGAACATAATAATTATTTTTGTAAATGATAAGAAAATGACGTTACTAAATGTCCAAAGCAAATTGTAACCTACTTAATGATTTACTAACAATATTTATCAAACTTATATATATATATTAAAAAAATTAAGGTATTTT